CTGCAGGCCCTAAAGGCAGCATGGTGCCTTGGGTACAGGGCCCTGGGACTAAATACCAATGGGGAGTGTCAAAGATGGGACTGTGGGGCCTGGCAACAGCATTGGAGCCTTGGGAGGCAGATGTTTGGGGCTCTGCATTAGAACTAGAGCCTGGGTGCAGAACTATGGGGTCCTGCATGACTCCAGAGGCAGTAAAGGAGTTATGCACAGGGCACAGGGTCAGACAGTATAGTGGGAACTATAAAGGCAGAACCTCATACCAGCTAGCAGCATGGAAACCTCAAGGGAAGAGCTGTGATAACGTGGGGGGTCACAGAGAGGGGCCACAGGGCCAGCTGCTGGGTAACCAAGGCTCTTTTGCTATCAATGCCCCATGGAGGCAGTCACTGTAGGGCTTCCCAGGTGGCACCTTTGGCATCTTTCTGCTAATATTCCCTATTGGGGAAGGGATACTCAGCTCCTGCCATGGGACATGCCAGAACACTCACTTTGTGCAGACAAGAGAGCTTAGAATGGCATCAATTTCTACAACCCCAAAACAGAAAACACAGTATTCCTGCTTTCTGGCCCGGTATTGCTGCAGAGACTCTAAGCAACTCCCTGATGAGTCCAGAAGTCTGCAGTGGCAGTGGTGGCCTTGTCAAGCTTGGACTGCAGTGCTCATGTGAGGAGCATGGAGCCCCTGGGTTCTCTCCTGTACTTCCCATGTGTGGATGTCTCCTCTGTACCATTGTATCTTGTTGAATGGATTAGCCTGTGTCCTTCTCCTTCACCCTGAATGTCTCTTCACTGCTCAGTGATTCATAATATTCTTTCCAAGAAGGTTCATTTGTAGGGCATCCACCTGCAACTTTCAATCCTCGCTTGAGAGTGGCATCTGCTGGCTGCTTATAGTCTGTTGTCTTACCCTCTCTATAGCTTTGTTAATGGTTGATCTTGATCATACATTATAAATACATAACTTATCACTGTCTATGTGTATATACACTTTACCAGTCAAATGAAATATAGGTATATAACTCTAATGTCCCTTTATACCATCGAATCTTTGTTCATAATATAATTGTCTTAAATAATCATCTGCACATGTTGAGAACTATATAAGACAGTGTAAATTATTGCTTCAATTATGAAATAATTTAGAAAACTCAAGGAGGGAAAGTATTTATATAGTTATATTTTTCTCTCATTGTTGTTCTTCCTTCCTTATGTTATGAAATTATTTTATTATTCTTTTCTAAAAAGGAACTTTTAAAAGAACTTCCCTTCAGCAGTCTTTTATGGTAGATGTGATTCCTTAATCTTTTTTCACCTAAGAATATCCTGATGTTTTATTTGTTCCTGAATGATATTTTCAAAAGCTGTGGAATTCTAGATGGCTATTTTTTTTTTTTGAGCACTTGAAAAAATTTGTACCACTTCCTTCAGCCTCCAATGTTTCCAATAAAAAAATCTACTGTCATTTTAATTACTTTTCCCTATAGTTAAGTTATTGTTTCTCTGTCACTGCTGTCAAGATTTCTTCTTTATCTTTAGTTTTTAGAACTATGTTTAGCTTGATTTGTGTAAATATCTTTGTGGTTCCTTCCATCTTTTTCATCAGTAGGTTTATGTCTTTTGACAAATGTACTCTTTCTAGCTATTCTTTGAATAGTTTTTTAATATATTTTTCCCTTCTCTTGGGACTCCAAGCATACAAATATTACATCTTTTGTTATAATCTTACACGTCCATGTCTCTGTGGCTCTGTTCATTTTTTCCCCAGTCTGCTTCTCCCTGCTGTTCAAATTGAGTAATTTGTTCTTTTATCTTAAAATTCCATGATTCTTTCCTCTATCTATCAATTCTACTGTTGAGTTTTTTCAGTTATTCTACTTTTTAATTCTAAAATGTCCACTTTGCTTTTCTAACTTCTATTGTTTTGCTGTCACCTCACATGGCATCTGTTGACTATCTTTTCTCATTCTTGTTGGGATCGTTCTGGTTCTTATTTTATTACTGATTTTCTACAGAAATGTGAACTTCAGGGACATTATGAGACCCTAGATTTTATTTAAGTCTTCTATTTTAGCAAGCCCCCCACTATGCCATTCTGGTGGAGTACTCAGTGTGATGCCTCACTACCTAGTGGGAGAAATATGGTTCCCCAACTCAGACTTTGTTGACATGACACAGGGTAGTGCGAAACAGTTTCTCATTACTCCGGGTGAGGATCAAAGTTCAAGGTTGCTGATAATCCTCCACTGATCCTAAGGCTGAGAAGGGCAAGGATGCTTCATTATTGCTCTCTATATGGCCTCTCCTGTCACCATAGTGGGGGCTGGAATGGACATGGTTTCTCTACCTCTAGGCAGCAATGAAATTGTTGACTCTTCACTAGGGTATCACTAGCAGAAAAGGGTTGGGTAATTGTTATCACTGGTGAGAGTGGAAGTCCAAGCTTCCCACATCAACTCCACTGACACCTAGTGGTGTGTGTGAAAGGGATGTATTATCACCCAGTGAGAATAAAATTCCTGCTTCCCCATTCAACCTTCTCTGACACCAAACCAATAGAGATTTAGGCACTTGGTTACAACCAATTAGAAGCAAACATCTAGTCTCCTCATCTGTGTTCTGATGGAAAGGGTGGTGCTAGGGCCATGATATGTGTGTGTGTGTGTGTTTGTGTGTGTGTGTGTGTGTGTGTGTGTGATGTTTGGTTCCAAATAGAGCAGCTGTTTGACTAAGATTTCTCTGTATTTCTAGGTCACCCTTTTCCTGGTTCATTGGCCAGAGACAGCAGGAATGTCTTGAGGCTTTATTTTGTCTGTATCAGTTATCATTTCTCAGTCGCAGGCCTCTCGTCCACCCAGTGTCCAATATAGCAAATGAACAGCAAACACAGAAAACTAACTTCAGTTTTATTCTTTGGGTCTCATGCTTGCTAGCTGGTCTGCCTTTATTCTCGTTTAACTTTCATAGTCTTATGTTTGGTTTATATATAACATCCAGGAGTTTTAGCCATACTTGGAAGAATAAGAAGAGAAAAATTTTCTATTCTATCTTTCCAGAAGCAAGAGTGGTAATTACTTTTGAAATGATTAATTTGGTAATATAGCCCCTTAAGAACTCCAAACGTCAGCTGCCATTTTTTGGTTTTTATTTCAGAGAGATATTATTTTTATTCCAAAGTACATTATATTGAAAAAGACACATAAAACATAACTCTAATTTGAGTCTAGAGGGAGTTTGATGTGACAGCAATATGTTCCCAGGGTGGAGATCTATTACTTGTTTCCTTTCCCTTAAAAGGAAAACTTAATTTTTAAAACATCTGGATATTATATTTCTGAAGAACTATGGTGTTAATTTAATAAAATATTTTTTTTTCAATTCATCAAGCCAAACACAAAGCTTTAAAAAGTTGAGCAAAATTCTTTCAAATGAAGATCTGTCTGAACTTGAAGTCAAGGAAACAATATCTATTTTTCCTGAAATGTACAAAGTGAAACAAAACAGTACACAGTACACATACGACTTGACTTGATGAATAGGTTTTTCTCTTCTAGATGTCTGCAACGTACATGAATATGGAAGACACACGGAGAACAAAGAACATAAGATGTGACTGAAGTTAACGTGAATAATACATGTAAAGATCTGTGAAGAGAACAGTATTCTTATATCAACCCAAAATGAAAATGACATGATAATATATTTGGTATCATTTAAATTGGATCAATCTCATGAGATAAATCTTTTCCTCTGTACTCCAAAGACATGAAAAATTTAATCTTTTCTTTTCTCTATTTCAAAAATATTTACCTTGACTCATAAATATTTACCTTGACTTAATAAATCTGCTCTCTGTGCCACATTATATCACTTTAGTTGTGGAGACTCTGCCTTATGACAACAGTTTTGAGATGTTAATGACAATAGGTATAATGTGTGATGCTCTTGTAAAATCATGATCCTTCAGGCTCATCCCCAAAGATACTAATAAGCAGTCTGGGCATAGGCCTAAGAGTCTTCCTTTTGGAGAATTTATTCATATAATTCTTATTGAGGTGGTCTGCAAACTACACTATTAAAAATTGCTGGACTATGTGATCTTTGTAGTCTCTTTCGGTTCTCATATTCTGTTTCTCTGAGCATCTTGGTTACTGAACTTTTAAAGGAAACCTAGAACTTCTGGAAATCTTAAGTCAACCATCTTATCCAGCCCGTTTATCAAGTCAACTAGCATATAGCCAATCTATTCCTGAAGGATATATTTCTCCAAGGAGGAATTTCAGTCATTCCTAGAAATCTTTTTTAAAGACGCTGTTTATATAGAGCTGGACAATTGCAACCCATTGAAAGACATCAACCTCTGTGAGAGTCACTAGAGAGTTCTGAATCAACTGGACCCTGACAGAAATGTTATTTTTTGAAATATCTTTAAAATACTTATGCTTAGTGTAGAAGAACCTAAATTGTCTGTATCTTTTGGAATGTTTTGATAAATAAGGCCTTTAGTTTAAAGTATTATGTATTTTTAGAGGTTGAATTTTATTTCTTGTTCTATGTAATATATTTAATTAAGGTATGTAGAGTGAAGTCAATTGAACTCTAGCATAATAGCTAATAAGCACTAATCACATACTAATAACTATAACATAAAAATTGTCACATATTATACCTGCATTACATTCTTGCAAACAATTAAGCCAAATACTATTATCTTGTATATCAAGGCTCAGTATTTCTGAATAATTTATTTCACAGAAAGCCTCAAAAAATATAAAATTAGTTTTGTCCCCATATAACATCAATTAAGATCCAATATTAAATCTGCATGAAACATGGAATTTGCTTTAGTTACCAAAAAAACAAAACAAAACAAAATGAATCATTAGAAGACAAAATAGAACATAGTACAAATACTTAACTATTCATATGGAATAAATTTCTAACCTTGTCTTGATATTTTGCTTTGTCTTACAAGGAAGTTAATACATATATATTTAACTTACCTCATTGATATTGTAAGCATAGCTCGTATCTCTACTGGATATTTTCCCTAAATGAAATAAGAAAGAATAAAGCATGTTAAACTAGTCAACTATTCATATTCAGGTATGTTCAAAAGTCTGCAGAAGAAGAAAACAAAAATTCAACAACAAACAAAAACATTTAGAGAAAACATACTGAAAGGAAAAAAATACAATATCTTCTGGGAACGAAATTGTTCCAAACAGCCTCCAAAAAAAAAAGCCTCACCAAAAACTGACTATAATCAGCAAATACGGATGCATAGAATATAATCTTTAGCACCAAAAATAAACAAACTCTGATCAATACAGTTATCAATTCGTAGCAACAAAAATGTTAAAAGGACGATAACCAATTAGAACATTGTCCACTGGGATCTTTTAGTTCTCACCCTGTGAGATTTAATATTCTCTCACATCGTTATTTCTGAAATTAAACCAGACTGGTTGTAATTAAAACACTACCAGAGCACTAAATAAGCCAAATTACTTTCTTGACACAGACAGACTTGTAATGGATATATGTTTAGTCATTTGGACTAAAATACATGTTCAAATAAATATGTGATGCCAAAATATGTTAAAATAGAATTTAGATTCTTTTAGTGACTCCGACTTGGAAAAACACTGAGAAATATTTCTCAAATAAAAAATTTCCTAGGCTGAAAACTTTTTTTTTTTTTTAGAAAATGTCACAATGGAAATGAATTAAAATGTTGCTGTCATTTAAAGGCCATTCACAGTAACTACAATTTTAGGAGAAGTTAGTATGTGTCCCCAAACCATAAAAAAAAAAAAAAATCTACTATTTTTATAGCTTATTTTTTTTTTTTTTTGCAGTTTTTTTTTTTGGCCAGGGCTGGGTTTGAACCCACTACCTCCGGCATATGGGGCTGGCGCCTTTGAGCCACAGGTGCCGCCCCTTGTATAGCTTTTTTCACAGTGCGAGGAAAAAGTTCACTTTACAAAACAATATTAAACTTATGTTAAATGAAATTAATTGTCCCTGGATCACAACAGCTTACTTCCTTTTTACAGATTCTGCAAACCACTTAGTTATTCTCTGATACTATTAAACGCACACTGTGTAGACAAACCTACATTTGACATAAATTCAATCATTATAAGTCAGCTCGGGGGTAAAGTTCAAAGTTTTCTACGGAGAGGACTTTTGGATATTTGTCTGTTCGTTGGTTAAATCAAGTCCACATATGAAAACAAATACTGGCTTGTAGGAAGTATCTGTTTTACGTATAATTTTATTTTATTTAAAAAATTAAAAAGATTCATGGCCCATAGCTTTAATAGTAAAAGATAAAGATCATTCCTGATATAAGTCCGTTACCTTTGTCAGATTACTGACTTTAAAATTTAATTAAAACCAAACTACTTCTCCAGCCACCTGCCCTGGCTCTCTCAACCCCAGCCTGCTAGGTTTTTTTTGTTTTGTTTGTTTGTTTTATCAGTTTTCTTGTACCTTCTTTCAGTTCCAAGCTCCCTTTTGTGGTATCTTAACAATTATACCCCTGAAAGGCAGGTTCCCTGTAATGGTTTCTATCAACATTCAGTGCTGTGAGGTTAGACCTCTAACAGGTGTTAAGGTCATGAGGGCTCTGCACGATGGCAGGAAGGGATTGTTACAAAGGGAATTCCGCCCTCTTAGTCCACTTGCTCTCTCTCGTCACACAATGCTGCCTTCTACCATGATTTGACAGCAAAGAGGAGCTCACCAGATGTGGCCGTGCAATCTCAGAGTTTCCACAAAGTGTTGAAGGAACTTCAGACTGTAGTATTCTGTTCTAGCAGCACACAACAGGCTAAGCCACTATTTCTCTTCCCACCTTACCCTGGGTCACTTCTCACCTTTTTCAGATATCAGCACATAAGTCACTTTCCCCAGGGAAGCCCTCTCTCACCCATCTGACTAGTTCAAATAATTTTAAATCTCTACTGGATGGTACTTTTCAAAGTTTCAAATTCCATCAGGATACATGTGCTTTTTGATGAGTATCTTTTTCTCACCAAAGACCGTGTGTCCCTGAAAGGTGGACACAGTGTCTGATTTTGTCTTTTTCACATACTGAAAAGGCAGATTAGCAGATGACAGTTCCTTCCCAAACATTTATTGAAAGAAATGTTTCAATGAATTTGAATGAGGAGGCCAGCAAAGGAGCCAAGTTTTTTTTTCCTACAGTTCCTGCAAAATAATAACCCAAAATAAATTGAGAACTTGCCATGTGCCAGGCCACGTGCCAAATACTAATCTATTTACACAGAATTTACTTTGTATTAGGTATTATAAGTAATCTATGTATATGGAAGGATGATTTAATGTATATGGAAGGATGTGTACAGGTTATACGCAATTACTACACCATTTTATATGAGGGATTTGAGAATCTGCGGATGAAACCAATCCCTTGAGACATTTAAGAATGATTATGTGCATGCACACACACACAGACACACAACCATACATAGACATAATACATGCACACACACACATACACACCATGTACACACACACTCGATAGTTGACAATTCAAATCCCATGTCAGCAGTTTTCAAAGTATGCTCTAACAATCCCTGTCAAGATCTAATTTATGTTATGATAATATTAATACTTTTTACTTGCCTTTTCATTCTGTTGCCATGTATACTGATGGTACAAAAGCAGTGGGATAAAACTGTTGGCGCCATCAACAAATCAAGGCCACAGCACCAAACTATACTAGCGGTCATGGTATTCTCCAGCAACACGTATTATTCAGTAATAAAAGAAAAAAATCTAGTTTAACTTCAGAACTGCTAGAACAGAATACTACAGTCTGAAGTAGATAAAACAGTTAAATTATTAATTTGATTAAATCTTTACGTTAACACAGATCTTTTTAATAATCTATAAAGAAATAGGATTGTGCACAAGGTACTGCTGCTGCATTCCACAGTACCACTGTTATTTTGTGAAAAAAAATATTTTGTATTACACAGTGAAGTAGCTGAGTTTTTCATGAAACACTGTTTTCATTGAAAATAAGGCTGACAGACACAGTATGGTCACAGAGACTTAGCAAATGGGTAGATGTTAGCTCAAGAATTAATGACATGAACCTGTCACTTCATGGAAAACAGCTGGCAGTATTTTTTGCCAATACTAACACTGGAGTTTCAAATGAAAGAATTTCAGAAAACTTGTGTCTGTTACAAGTTTTACAAGTCACGGGCTTACCAGTTTCCCAAGACTGTCCTGAGGAGATCAATAAAAAAGTTAACATGACTTTTTGATGTTTTGTAATGAAACATGTTAATGTCTGGCAGGTTGCATAACTCAGTGAACTACCGTTTTCCAGATGACCAATGTGTGGCGTTAGAAAATCATTCGTAGGTAAAAGATCCATTTAGAAAGCAACCAGACCAATGAATGTAGCCAACAATGAAAAGGACATTTAGATGGTTTCAAATTTTATTACATCTAACTTTTAAGAACCTATTATTAGTTGAATGTTGGTGTAACATGAAAGAAGAATACCCATTATGATTTCCCTTTCTGGGCACGTTGCCCAATTACACTTCCCTCCATAAGACTGTACACTCCCTGAGAGCCGGCAAGAACACATTTTGTCAAACATATACTTTTCTGAAAAGCTGAAAAATTCAAGAGGATAGATTTATTTCTCCATATACTATACTCCCTCTCACTGCTCCCTAGCATTGTCACACACACATGCACACACATACAATCAGATACCCACATATACCACGGACTCACATACACTTTTTTATTCAGACTATAGAGATGTAATAACTATGCAGAATCACCAAGTCCCTGTCCAAAAAATACAGGCCTGACTGAAGGACAGGGTTTGAAACTGACAAAACTGTCAGCTTCTTGCTATTGTTAAAACTTCCTCTAAGGTGAATAGAGATGATTATGTTCATTCTCACAAAGGAAGCAATGAGGAATTTGGTACCAATCACTATAAGGAATTATCAAAGACATGCCAAAAGGAAATCCAGCCCGAAGACTGAAGGTTGGGTTCTCACTGAAGGGACATTACTAAGAATACACACTCCAACAAACCCAGACCCAAAAATAGCTCTTGCGTTTACCAAACGATCTTCTCAGTTTACACTCCTACCAGCAGCATAGAACAAAATACTTGCAATGAAGCAGCCACATTATTAAAGGACAGGTTGTTTAAACACAATGTTTAATGTATCTGTAAGGGGAAATCAACTTTACATTCAACATTTAAACTGCCTTTCCAGCACTAAAACCACTCAACTGTCTTTTCCAATGCTGACTATATTATAAATCAGCTAAAGAATATACACTGACAAACAGAACATGCATGCATTGTCAACCAGTCAATAGTTCAATTTCAGCAACATTGACATTTTACTAGCAGTGTTTGTCTGTGTAACTATTTGTTACATTATATTTTGCCATTAGAAACTCAATTTAAAAAATTAGTAGATAGCAGAAAATTAGCCTCCTGGAGATTGATGATTGCTAACGTGTTCAACTGTGGAAGAAAAGAGACTCAGAGAAAATGCAACAAATCCTAAAAATATCTCATTATTACACCTAAAAGGCAAAATGCCATCTCTCTTGGGAGAAATGTTATTACATGTAAATCAACTGTTTAATACTCTCACACTCAATTCCCAAAGGTGTCTTAGGAAATACATAATATAAAATGATTGAGGTTTACTTGTACAGGTAAATGTACTCTGAGAAATCTGTTTATATTTTAAAATTTAGAAATGAAATTGGCTATTAAAAATTGATACTATGTATCCTAGAATGTTTTAGTCTTCTACAGGCAACACTTTTGTTTTCATAATTGTGGTTTTTACCGCAGAAGGAAACATATATAGAAGTAGGTTTCAAAAAATCTACTGGACTCTCTATTAAAAAAAAAAAAAAAAAAAAAAGCATCCTCATAACAACACGCTTTTCATAAAACTCTAGTGCTATCAATGATTTGAATGCCCCTTCCAAAACTCATGTTGAAATGTCAGTGCCATTGTACTAAGGTGGGGAGGTGGGGAGGTGAAGCCTTTAAGAGATTAGGACATAAGGGCTCCTCTCCTGAGATGGCAGGGAACAATTATCTAGGGAGTGGGTTTATCTCAGTAGTGGTTTCCTGAAGGGAGGATAAGTTTTACCCCAGTTCCCTCTGTCTCACAGGCTCCTTTGCCTTTGCAACAGGTTATGATGTAACAAGAAGGCCCTTGTCAGATGCCAGCGCCATGCTCTTGGACTTCTCAGCCTCCTGAATCACAAGCCAAACAAACTTCTTTTCTTTACAAATTGCATAGGCTGTGATATTCTGTTATAGCAACAGAAAATGGACTCAGATACATACTAATAATAGACATCTCAATAATGAGCAGTAAAAATTACCCAGTAAAATAACTGACATGTTGAGCAACATCTAAGAAAATAAGAGTCCTAAGAGTAGCCTGAACCATCCCTCTCCTTAGGCTTTGCTCTCACCAATGTCACACCTCTCTGATGTTTCAGTTCTGGATCTATGAACAAATATGTATATAGGAATTTGGGTAGGATGTGGTCATTAGACCCAAGCATAAAATATATGGTGTTCCTCCTCATCATTACCTTTTTCCTTCACCTCACCCAAATCACAGGCACAGTTATGATCATAGGAGAGAGCATAAACAGATTATAAAAGTCTTTTCAAAGAAAAGGGAAAATTGAAAGCATTTTGTGTAAAGTTCTAAAGTCTTCCAGAGGCTGTGGCTCATACTTAGAATCCTGGCACTTTGGGAGGCCAAGGCAGAAGTACTGCTTGAAGTCCTGAGTTTCAGACCAGCCTGAGCAAGAACAAGATGCCATCTCTGCCAAAAATAGAAAAACTTGCATGGCATGGTGGAGGGCACCTGTAGTCCCAGCTCCTCGGGAGCAAGAGGCTTGATTGAGCCCAGGAGTTTGAGGTTGCAATGAGCTATGATGATGCTACTTCACTCCAGCCTGGGGGACAGAGCAAGACTGTCTAAATTGATCAATCAATAAACAAAAACAAACAAACAAACAAAAAACCACGCTTCATATAACCTTATGTGATACTAATTTATAATTCTACTAAGAATAATAATCTTAAAGCTAAACTAGATCACACTTCAAAATTAAGATGACAATGGTCAATTTCTATAATGCCATGTTGAAATATTTTCTTCATTACACAGAGAACATTAAATAATACACATTTTTTCCCTCTACTCTTCTTCAATAAAAAATATATTTCTGTACCTTTACACAGTTTTGAGTTTTACTTCAGGACTGATTATAAGGGATTAATATACTTAATACTTTAAATGAAAACACACACATATTTAGCCCAGGAGGAAATCATCAAATGAATATGGCAAGGGAATTCCAATGCTGTACTTATGAAAGTCATTTAACTTCTTTTACACCAATGAACACTAATCAGGATGCTTAAGTCCCTTAGTAGAACCACTAATCAAAGCTTAAAATTTTCAATAGCTTTATTTCCTTCTGTCCTCACATTATTTTTGATTTTAAAAGCAGGGATATGCTTGAAGTGACACCATCAAGAAGGCAGAAAGTGGCTCAGTGCCTGTGGCTCAACTGGCTAAGGCGCCAGCCACATACACGTAAGGTGGCGGGTTTGAATCCAGCCTGGGCCGGCCAAAACAACGACAGCTGCAAGAAAAAAATAGACGGGCGTTGTGGTGAGTGCCTGTGGTCCCAGCTACTTGGGAGGCTGAGGCAAGAGACTCACTTGAGCCCAGGAGTTGGAGGTTGCTGTGAGCGGTGATGTCACAGCACTCTACCCAGGGGGATAGCTTGAGGCTCTGTCTCAAAAAAAAAAAAAAAAAGGCATCACAGAAAAGATAATTTACAGGATAAAAAAATATTTGTAAGTCATGTATCTAAGGAGGGATTTGTCTCCAGAATACACAAAGAACACTTATAACTCGATAATAAAAAGAAAAATTACTCAATTTTTCAAAGGGGCAAAGGATTTAAATACACTTTTCTCTAAAGAAACTATATGAATGGCCAATAACCATATGAAAATTCTTGCTACTTCAGTCGTTGTATTGGGGAAATGCAAATCAAAGTCACAATGAGATAATGTTTCACAACCACTAGGATGGCAATAATAAAGATGACAATGACAAGTGTTAGTGAGTATGTGAAGAAACTGGAACCCTTTATACTTTACTGGTGGGACTGTAAAATTGTGAATGCTTGGATTATAGTTTAGCAGTTTCTCAAAATGTTCACCAGCAATTCCATTCTTAGATATATATTCAAGAAAAGCTACAACACATGCTCATACAAAAACTTTCACCTGAGTCTGGACATAGTGGCTCACACCTGTAATCCTAGCACTCTGGGATGTTGAAGAATGAGGTTCCCATGAGCTCAGGAGGGAAAACCAGCCTGAGCAAGAGCAAGACCTCTTCTCTACTAAGAATAGAAAAATTAGCTGGACTTGGTGGCAGGCATCTTGAGTCACAGCTACCTGGGAGGCTGAGGCAGAAGGATCACTTTAACATAGGAATCTGAGGTTGTGACGACCTAAGGTGATGTCATGGCACTGTAGCCTGGGCAACAGAGCAGTTGATGAATGGATTAGACATGGTATATCTGTACAATGGAATAGTGTTTGGCAATTAAAGGAATGATGCAGTAATACAAGTTACAACATGGATAAACTTGAAAAACATTATGCTCAGAGAAAGAAGACAGTTACAACAGACCACATATTTCATGATCCTTTTCTATAAAGGGTCCGGAATAGACAAATTCACAGATAGAGTAAATAAATTATTGGCTACCTAGAGGAAGAAGTGGGAAGTTGGGAGAAGGGGAATTGTCTGCCAAAGAGGTTTCTATTTGGGGTGATGAAACTGTTCTAAAATAAGATTAGGGTGATGATTGCAAAACTCTGTAAACATACTAAAAACCACTGAACTGTACATTATAAATGAATAAGTTTATGGCATATAGATTATATTTCAACAAAGCTGTTAACAGGGGGAACAAGGAGGATAAATGATACACTATTTCTTGATGCCTTTTAAGACTTAACAACACGACTATTCATGGATCTTTTATCACTTAAAAAATGTCTTTCCATGTTTAGATCTAATACTAAAGAAGACATACATAGAATAGAACGTCATGGAGGGAAACAAGGTGCCAAAGATAGCAAAAAAAAAAAAAAAGTGCATTTTAAGGAAAAAGTGTGTGCTAAAATAGACCCACAGATTATAGGTCTGTGTGAAGGCCTTAGCAAACAGTGGACAAGTATTTCTCAAGGGAACCAAAGGTTCAGTGAAAGCTGTTTTTAAAAACCGGCAGCGTTCCCCAATGCGTGATGAATCTCAAGCTGACAGACCCTAGCATCTGCTCCTTTCATAATTTACAAACACCTCAAAGCAAGATCAGTAAGAGGCAAAAAGAAGGAGGCAAAAGGGCTTGAAGACCATCTCCCTACACGTGGGATAGTTGGCGTGCACTCTAAGCTGTCACTTTCTAAAGGCGACTCCCTTCCTTTCTGGGGTTCAGCGGTGCAGGCTCTGCAGCGCGCTAGCCAAGCCTCCCTGAAGCCTCCGCGACTCCCCAGCGTCCGAGGCAGCAGGGAAGGCGTTTGAGAATCATAGAGGTCACAGACCTCGCAGGTCCTGACCTCGCGGCAGCAGCAGAGAAATTTGTAGGGCGCGTAAACCCATCCCAGCCACCCCAGGCAGGGACTCGCGCTGGGCACGCCACGCAACGAACGTCCCCGGGACTCGAGCCGCAGGTCAGCCAACGTCCCCTGGGGGGCCCTGTGCCGCGGACGGCAGGGTCAGCTCGTGCAGCCCGACTCTCCCTCGGCACCCCTAGGCGGACTCCTACCTTCCACTTCCACCACTTCCAGGAGATTCGGGTCGCCCATCTTCGCCAGCTCGTTAAAGGCACTGAGTCCTGAGACGCAGCTGCCACAGGACCGGTGCGGTGGGCGTGCTAATTTGGGGCAGATACTGAATCTGATCCTGGGCCGCCCGGATTGCTGCCGGACCTCGAAGAGGTCGGGCACTTGTTTCTCCTCCTCGTTCTCCTCCTCAGACTCCAAGGATCTGGGGTCCCTCTGCCAGTGGGGCTTCCTCTCCACAGTGTATTTCCCCTCGACCTCGTTGCCCTCCACCTGCTTCTCCAAGTACCTGTCCTGCTCCCGGGGCCTCTTGCCCCAGTCCTTCCTCCGCAGGCCCCTCGGCTTCTTTCCCCGCCTCTCTCTCCGCCTCCCAACCTCAAGCCTCGCCCCCGCTCCGCCCCGGGGGACCGCGCTCTGCCCGCCCCTGGGCCTGGCTGGCCGGCCGCCGGCCTCTTCCTCTCGGCTCTGACCTGCGCCCCCGAGCCCCTGCTGCGCCGCCTTCGGGCTCTCCTCCGGCCCCGCCGCCTCCCGCCGCTCCTCGGGGCCCATTTCTCGGCTCTCCTCCGGGCCAGCTGCCTCCTGCCGCTCTGCTGGCTCCTCGTCCTCCCGTCTGTCTTGGCCGGCCAGCTCCATTCCCAACAGGCTTACCCGGTCCAATTCTACTGGGTCACCCGACGCCCTGGACAACTGGTTCTCCGGGGCTGCCGCCTCTCTGCCATCTGAACCCTCCTCCTCTGAACCCCTCGAATGGGCCAAATACTCCCCCAGCTGGTTTTCCCGGTCCTCATCCATCCTGGCTTGGCCCTTCCCCGCCGAGGGTGCCCCTCGGAGAGGACCCCTCTCAGTTCGGGAGTTATTTTTTGTCGGGTGAGATAAAGTTCCTCTCCTTAAGGAAGCTCCCCCCCTTTAAGGCCTGCGCGTGGCAGGGGTGCCCAGGGTTCTAAATAACCCGCCCCCTCTGGCTCTGGCACTTAGGTTTTGACTTTTCTCCCTTAGGTATTAACTTTCCTGCCTGCTTCCTGGATGCTGACAGGACGCCTGTTTTCTCCAGTTGTGGGAAGGTGAAACCCTGTTGTCTGAGTTCTAAGTTAGTCTCAGTCCCTTGAAAGGTCAAATTTCGATAAGCTTCACTTTCTGTCTGTTGAAATGGAAATGATAATAGGACCCACTTTCTGGGGCTGTTGTAAGGACAGCGGGGTAGAGTGCTTGGTACAGCCCGGACCCGCCAAAACAACAATAACGGCTGCAACCAAAAAATAGCCGGGCGTTGTGGCGGGCGCCTGTGGTCCCAGCTACTTGGGAGGTGGAGACAGGAGACTCGCTTGAGCCCAGGAGTTGGAGGTTACTGTAAGCTGTGATGCCATAGCACTCTACCAGGGAGATAGCTTGAGGCTCTGTCTCAAAAAGAAAAAAAAAATTATCTAGAATAAAAGTTAATCCATGTGACATTGATTCCTGCTCCACCTCAAAGGATTGTGTAGTGTTCCCAGCCACCTCTACTCCCCCCACAACTTCAACCACAAGGGGAATGGATAATTTCTCTTCACAGGCCCCCTCTGAATTGGTTCTACGTTGCTGACACCCTATAAGCTGCCAACTCCGCAATACTAGAGACTTAAGAATCACTGTCTAGTGGGGGACTCAGATTGCTGATTCTGACCAAAAGGTGAAGTAGAGATCTGAATTGACAACCCTGAAAGAGCTGAGGAGGGAGTGACCCTGAGTTTGAGGGAGGGATGGGGTGATTTGAGAATAAGGATGAGATGACCAAAGATATGTGTCTTGTCTTCCTCCATTACTGACGTCTTAAAATGGAACGTCACCTTTACAGATGAGCGAACAGGCCTAGAGAGGAGTGTTTTGGTGAATGTCATGATTAACTGTGAAACTGGAAATTACTCCTTTTCCCTGTACTTTGCTATCTTTTCCCTGCTTAAAATTCTAGGAAAATAAGAATTATGGCTAAGTGGTTCAAGACTGTAGGCAATTCTTTACTCAACGTATTTTGGAATTGTGTTTGAAAGGTTAATAGACACAAGCAAGCAATAGACTTACTATACATGTAATTGTAATAAATGACTAATTATGGTAGAAGTGTTAGGTATTTACTTGTTGGTTATTAATCCTTGTTTGATTCTAGCAAAACTTCTATAACGTGTATGTTTTTTGTAGTATTTCTTACATGTCAAGTATTCTACTAGCTGTTGTGATTCTTGTGAGTAAGCAGATGGTTTGAATCTTTGCTGTAGATTCAGTAGGTTAAAATGAAGACAATAAAACCATTTTTATAGTTTTTCATAATTCCCTATTTCATATTTCTTCTTCTGCACTGTATTTGAAATGATTTATATGAGAAGACAGTGTATATTGATGATTTTGCCTAAGATTAAGTGGAGTTTTGGATGCTGAGTTTGCTTATATTTTACTAACATCCATAAAATTGTATTAACAAAGAGTCGAAAAGCAGTAGTGTTCTGATGATAACGGTTTCTATCTTATGCACACCTTTTTAGATCTCGAGAAATATTCTCTGTATGACATATATCCCTGTCTATACTGTTTAATAAGGTGGACAGCACAATGACCCTGGACAGATGAGTTGTCCTCTTTGAACACAGGTATCTTCTTTGTGAACATAAGGTTCTTATTCATTCCAGCCATCCCTCGAGGTGATTGTCAAAGTCAAATCAATCATGTGCATAAAAGGGCTTCTGAAACAACAAAATAGTAACACACAGGAGGGAGTTTTATTGACTGACATGAGTAAAGTATTGGATTTGCTAGTAGATAGGAATACTAGTTGAGGGTATTTCCATCATTGGCACCCACAAAATGCCGCTTCAACTATTTATTTGGAATTTGCAGGCTCTTTGTGATTCTACACATTCACTGCTCCCTGGTTTCGCGAGATGAACCAAATCTTTTTATTTGCAAAATTGATCACTTTGAATCCTGATTTTTTTTTTTTAGGCCATGGAGCTTTACAATAAGCCCTAGTGTTCTTGACTAGCACCTTCATATTTATCTACCATCTTGGATTCTTTTCTCTCCTAGAGTAAGCTCACTTTCCAAACCCATTTCTGGAACCACAGTATCCATTAGTAAAACGAATATAATACTTAGTAATCACATACACTAATACATGTGCTTGCATCAATACGCTTGATACATGTATTTGCCAACATATATGCCTGACATGGCATGTTCCCTCTGCCTTGAATGCAGGAAGATGGCGTTGTTTCCAAGACTAAAGAGATTATGGGGAACTGTCTCAGCAGTAGATAAGGAGCAAGGAAGCATTATTCTCACCCTTGCCTTCTGGACAGCAAATGAGGTTACAAATGATCCTCTTCTGCTGTCAATCGTCCAATGGCCTTCTGTCACAAACTAGGAAACATCCAAACGTTTTTCTTGTCAGAAGATTTGCAAAAGCTGTATTTACAGTATCTGGGCCTGGCTAAATCTCCACCATCATTTCCTACCTCTCTCTCCCTTTCCCTCCACACTCTGCCATGCTGTCTTATTGCTCTTCCTCAAACACAACAAGCAGCTTTTCATCACAGCACCATCCACTTACCCTGTGTTATTTGTCTTTGTAGCAATTGTCACTTTCTGACTTTAATGTGTATCTGTTTATGCACATTTATCTGTATCCAAGCTCCGTGAGGCCAAGGTTTTAGGTTCACTTTGTTATTGTATCTGTGGCACCGGGAATGGTACATGACACAGAAAGGATCAAAGTATTTGTGAAATGAATGATTTGACCAAGTTATATCATTGAATTTCCTACTGCCTAAGTCCAGCCAGCTGACTTCTCCAATACCCCTTGTTTTCAAGCAGTTGGGAGAGTAATATTATATGCTTGAATGACCAAGTGCCATTCTGAGAACTAATTTTCTAATTCTAAAGAAACTATAAAATGTGTCTAAAGAAACAACTAAGTGACTAGAGTCAGAGTTAGAGACAGGGTTAGGAATTCACCTTACTATCTGAGCACCAACCTCTTGACTTTCCTCTGAAGATAGGTGCTGGGCCTTATTAAGCAGTGACAGTGAATAGCAAGAAGGGGTGAGCTAAGACCTATTTCTGTTTTGGTACCACTATTAATATGCTACTGTAGTAACAAGTGTCTTTTTGTATAATCTGCTATTCTGTTATTTAAATGATAATCTGTCATTGTGTTATTTAAATGGCAAATGTTAGGCTTGCTCTTTTTCTTTGGCATCTACATTAACAGGGGCCAAAAACTAAATTCAGATACTCTACAGCAAATCCTTTAGTAAGAGTCTAGACTTTAGGCCCTGAGAAGATACATTTATATTACAATTTCTCTCTTTCACAAATAAACTTTAAGAGTTTATACCCACTGGTGGAATCTGTATTTTCTTTACCATAGAATTTTGTTTTGAATCGTACCATGCCCCTGAAGGAAACTATTCACTCAAAGGTCATCCTTCACTGGCCTGTATCGGTCATTAAATCCAGAGCTTCTTTCCAAACCTTCCACAATGGCTTTCCACACCTGCACCACTCCTAGTCTCTTCCCATAATTGAGACTTCCACTCTTTAGGCAGCACGATGTAAAAGAAACAGAATGGCAGTGAAAGTCAGACCACTCTCCATCAGGCAAATCTGTCCCAGTTTTGAAGCTTCATTTAGCCAGCTAGTGACAATTCCACCTTGAGCTAGTGCTTGCACTTCTCTAAACCTTAATTTCCTCACCAATATGATGGAAACAATTATATCCACCAAATGGTGTGGTTATGAAAACTAAATAAGAATGTTGCCTTTGGCACATAGTAAACATTGAAAGAATGTTAGTTTTCATCTTTCTTTTGTATCCTTTATGATTTCCTTGTTTTTTACACCTTCTTTCAAAAGTCTCCCTTGTTATTCTCTTTTTATCTTGTCCATGACTGTCACTTTTTTAAAGCTTTCATTCAATATTCAACTCAGAAATACTCCTCATTGGAGAATTTTTACTTACAAAATGTGCAAGTCACTTATATATTCTAATTTTATCCTAATTTGGCTAAACAGTCTTCCCGCAAACTGGTTCCATTTCCCAATTCTTCTACTTCTTTCTAAATCATGAAGATTGTCTTCAGTTAGTGAGAGTAATTGTAATAGCTACTGTGATTTCAGTATTTGCCATGTATCAATCAATGTTCCTGGTTTATTCCACTGCTTTGAATCCTCTTGATGACATGAAGTCTAGTACTTATCCCCAGACTCCTCTTATAACCACTGCACATCTTAACCTTTTTGTAAAAAAAAAAAAAAAAATCAAATTTATTGAAATAGAATTTATAATTG